CGTGTGTACGGCAAACGGGGGGTGAACGGGATCAATGACAAGGCTACAGAGATGAATCGCCGCTACATTACACCTGAATGCGATCACCTTGCTGTTTGCCCACTTCTTCGACACCCGAGCCCCAAAGACCCACCTGCCGCTTGTTGAAGCACTCCTTCTCCAACGCGGTTACCTCCGCCGCGGAAGTCAGCGGGGTATGCGGACGCCGTAGAAATTTCGCATCGGGTAAACGTCAACGCCATACCGTAGGAAGAAGCATTTCACTCAGGATTTCCAAAACTGTCACAAGGTCCATACGCCGTCCAGTTCTCGTTAGGTCGGTCTGCCTAATTGCAATCGGCCTCTAACTCCCTGTCGGCTACCGTAACACATCCCAACAATGCCTCGAATTCCAACGGCCGGCACAAAATGGGGCAAAGAACGGATGGAACGTCGGTCTGGAATAACGCGCATTGAGGCACACCTCTGCGCCGCACCGCCACCTACGAATGAAGGTCGACACTCACGAAGTACATGCCCGTTATACATCTGTAAGCGGCCTACCTCCGCCTGAGCTGCTCTTGCGCCTGGAATTCGGACGTTGGCATATTTTACAACGCCGTGGCAACGGTATAGGCAACGGCGAGAACCGGGAAGCGGTGACGGGGAGAGCAACATCAGCACAGGTAGACCGGGACGCGGGCAGGCAACACAATGAAACGCTACGTGCCATTCGCAACGCGGGAAATGAACAACGTGTACTTGTACGCGATGTCACCTTGCCCTGCGCGTCCGCCAGTTCCGTGCAGGTATGAGGAGCCGACGGTGAACCACCCGAGTCCCCTACAGCTTCCTTGAGCCTCGCCTCCGACTCCTTGCAGTCGTCTTGTGCCAAGCGCACAAGACCGGCCATCCTCATGACAGCAGCTTCGTGATTTTTCGCGGTGTTGTCGTGAGATNGGGAAATGAACAACGTGTACTTGTACGCGATGTCACCTTGCCCTGCGCGTCCGCCAGTTCCGTGCAGGTATGAGGAACCGACGGTGAACCACCCGAGTCCCCTACAGCTTCCTTGAGCCTCGCCTCCGACGCCTTGCAGTCGTCTTGTGCCAAGCGCACAAGACCGGCCATCCTCGTGACAGCAGCTTCGTGATTTTTCGCGGTGTTGTCGTGAGACAGAGCCACGAAGTGGTTCAACTCCCTGATGCGGCCACCGTTGAGACGTTTGTACTCGTGGGCGTCGCTGAACTGGGGTCTGTAGTCCGCGCTCGAAACATACGTCATAACAACATGAACGGTCTGACTTCCCGGATCCAGTGCGACCAGCGGTTGGAACAGGGTCCACTGCCACTCTCCACCNCCTTGCAGTCGTCTTGTGCCAAGCGCACAACACCGGCCATCCTCGTGACAGCAGCTTCGTGATTTTTCGCGGTGTTGTCGTGAGACAGAGCCACGAAGTGGTTCAACTCCCTGATGCGGCCACCGTTGAGACGTTTGTACTCGTGGGCGTCGCTGAACTGGGGTCTGTAGTCCGCGCTCGAAACATACGTCATAACAACATGAACGGTCTGACGTCCCGGGTCCGGTGCGACCAGCGGTTGGAACAGGGTCCACTGCCACTCTCCACCGTTGACGTTCTGGACGCTGGTGACTGCGAATTATTGCATGCAACCGACACGCGAAGAATTCCAACATNAGGTTTGCCGCCATTATCGGGTGACCCCCGTGCAAAGCTAGTGATGAAAACTAGCGACGAACGTGAAACACCAATCGAACACGCGCAGATGGTTTTGCTCATGGAACTGAAACGTGGAACGGGAATGACGGTATTAAAAATTAACCGAATTCAAAATTAAAACGCCAATGCCGACAGAACGAAATACGCCGTGAGAATTCCTAAAGAATTGAGAGCCTCAGATGGCACAAATACGCGGACAGGTCCCCGCATGACGGTGGCCAGCATAGGAAGCACGAACTGCTGGAGGAGTACTTTATCCCGAGCGATGTGGTGCAGACATCCTAAGAACACCAGCCGTGCGCAGTCACGCGACGCCATTCGCCAACG